ATAAAATGATAGAAATTTCTCTCAAAAGGGCCTAAGATCACAATGCATCTTTAGTGTTTGATAGTATGCTCAAAACAAGCTAGAATCTCAATCTCGTCTCTAATTCTCGGTTTAATTTGTAATTCTTACACAATAGATCGAAGTGTTAAAAGTTCCGGAATTTTGTAAGGAATAAGGAAAGCTTTATTGAGGTATGTATGGCTAAAACCCCGTCTTTTAGAAATTGAGCTTCATCGTTGGTCGTGTGAGTACGGTAAGGTTAAATTGAATTGTTGTATTGATTACTATTCACTTGACTTGGTGATGCAACCTTATATGCGTGGAAACTGCGTCTCAAATTGATCAATGTGCTATTCTTGATAATTTGAAAAGGTGCAAGGACTATGAATCATGTGTCGAAATGCTTAGACCTTAGATTGAAATTGAAGTGCGTTGTTGTGCCATTTACATGAAGTCTCATCTACGCCTACAACCTTATTTGCTCTTATGTGCCATACTCTCTTGAATTACAAACCTAATGTTGAAAATGGGAACAATGTGAAACGTGAATTGTGGAATGTGAAAATTGTGGCCCCAAGTGTCGGTAAACTAAGACATGTGTAACCAAAGATTTGAGTGAGATGAATAATGGAAAATGGTAACGCCTCAATAAGGCGGCCTAGCCGATCGGGCCGTGATCGGACGCCATGACATATACATATGGCGGTTATGCATTGATGATTGAAACTGAAAAGTGTGAATAGAATATTGGTAACGTCTCCGGGAGACGGCCTAGCCGATCGGGTTGAGATCGAACTTCGCTCAAGATAGCGGTGGTAATGTGAAAGATGTGGAACAGTATGAAATGCCCAACTAAAGGCTATGGAAACATGATGTGAAGGTATTGTAATTCTTTCATGTTGATAATGTTGTGATCATTTAAATCTTTGGAGTGATACCTGTGATTTCCTTATTTGTGTATGAAAGTTCTTTCTAATTTGATGGTGTTTAGTTATATATACTAGTACTATTCTATGGTACTAACGTTCCTTTTTCCGAGGGTGCTACATTTTTAAATGAATGTAGGTGGCTCCATAGCGGATAGTGTCGATCGTGTGTAGCAGAGCATCCTTTTCTCAAAATCTTGGTGAGCCCCTTCTTACTTCAAGGGGTCATGTGGTATACCTTTTGTTACATACATCCATTTTGAGGTATAGCCAGGGCCTTGTTGCCGGCGTTGTTATCACTATCTTTTGTATCCTAAGAGGCTCCGTAGACGTTTGTGTGGGTCATGTACGGGTATTGGATAGGTCAATGAACCATGTTGTAACCTTGTACTCTTTCTTTTTTAAAACTATAACTGTATGGAATCTTGGACACTTAACTACGATTTAATGTTGTCATATAAAATTAACTAAAATGTTGAATGTACTATCTTTTCTTGTCTAAATAAATGAAAGAATGGTTTCCCTATTCATATTGAGTTGGATGGGTAGTGTTTGATGAAGCTTGCTCAGTTGGGTTCACTCGATTGAGCGTCGGTCGCGCCTCCCGAGGTTGGGGCATGACAGATTCTCAAAAACTCATCACAATTTTTGAGTTCAAACCGGGAAACCTTGTTAATGACTATGTTGATGCCATGGCTGCGTGGATCCTCTTTTCGATCAACAATGCTCTTTGCGGGTTTTCACTAGCTGATCTCTCTCATTTCTCTTCTCGCCATCATCTTATAGTGCCCTTTGCGGGTTTTCACTAACAAGACTCTCTCATTTGTATTTTCTCTACTCACCATCGCCCTACAGTGCCCATGAGGATTTTCACCAATAGGACTCTCTCATTTTATTTCTCTCATTTGGTTGCATCTGATCCAAATAACGTATCCTCCAATTCTTGAACATTCTCACCGATTGATCGAAAGGACTTGAAAGGATTTGGGTAAAAAAATTGAATTGAATTACAACTTTGGAACCTTTCGGATAAACCATCGCCGAACCATTGTAACATCTGCCCCAGTTTTCACTTTTGGGAAATGTGGATTTTTTGTTTGGTGTGACCAAACCCCAGAGTGAGGCTGCCTACGTATCCTTTGGGAATCAAGTCGGATGTAATTCAATTACATGAACTTGTTTTAATTTTTGTTAGTTTTTTTCTTTTTCTTTTATTTTATATTTTTCTTCTCTTTTTTTCTATTTTTTCTTCTTCTTTTTTTTTCTTTTCTTTCTTTTTACATACAAGGTTCAAAGAGGGTGATCAAGGAAAAAGTATCCGGCTCAAAGGGTTTGCAATGGGTTGATAGTGTTTGGGTAACGAGAATGTAAGCCTTCGTCATCCCAATCAGAGAATGTTAACATCAAGTAGTGAGTCAAACATAGTACCTTTTGACTGCATCTGCGTTGAATGTTATCTCGGGGACATTCCCTTTGATGTCTCCCAAATAAAACGCTCCATTTGGAAATACTCTTATTACAATGTATGGACCTTTCTAATTTGGAGCAAATTTTTCCTTAGCTTTGATAATAGGTTAAATCTAGGTAATTCGGCGATTGTTTATTCTCCCACTTGATTATATTCCAATATTATAATATGGTTAATTGATGAAAAATAGGCTCTAATTGTGAATTGTATATATTGTAGGATGAGGAGCCTAGGTGATGCCTTAAACAGTTGTGATTGGAATCATTTTGGAGCAAGAAAGACCCCTCAGAGCTGAGTACGCTTGAAGACGAGGAACAGAAGTGATGAAACACAGAACTGGACATGCGCGCCCAGGTGCACGACCACGCTACTTTTACCGCGTCCATGACAGAATCTTAGCCAATTAGCGCGGCCAGATGCGCGTCCAGGTGCGTGGTCGTGCTAGTCCAAAATCCGGGAAGAGTTATTTAGGGGCAAAATTGGAAATCTGGAGGAAAACTCACTTAACCTATATAAATTCAAGCTCACCCAATGAAGAGAGGGGAGCTTTTTCATAGTCTAGTGCAAGAAATAGAGAGACAAGAGGCAAGGAGGAGATTTGACCATCAAGTTCTTCTTTTCTTCTCTTGGTTTTTGCTATTTGGGATGAAATTGAACCTATTTGTGATGAACACTAGTATGAGTAGCTAAAACCCATTGTTCTAGGGTCATAGGTGAAACATGAATGTTGTTGTTTGAAGTTTAATTTGACAAAGTTGGTTTATCATATTGGGTTGTTTATTTAATTCTGCTTTTAATTATTTTGCTGAGTAGCTAACAGTGAAATACTATCTACGAATCTTTAGTTGAACTCGAAAGTGGGAACTTTAGATTGCATATAGAATTAAATAGGGCAAGTTCTTGAACCCGGGCCTCGGGGAACGGATTAGCAATTGGGATAGACATATACCCAATTGCCTTGCTTGGTTGAAATACAGGAATTGTAAATGCATTCTTGTTAATCTTAATTCCATAGACATATAGGCATTGAGTTAACTTGAATAGGCGTGTAAGAACTCGACAGATTCTTATGAGTAACATTAACCTTGTCAATCAACAATCCAGGTAAATCGATTAGTCATTTTAAGCTAAGAACATAACACGATTGTTAACTAGCCTGTGACCCTGGAATATCCTCTCCTACTGTTTGTTACTCGAAATTGTTATTTGTTTGGTTAATTGCTCTAGTTAGATTATTGCTTGGTAGCTTAGGTAGTAAAATAATTACATCTCTATTTTGTGAAAAACCTCTTGGATAGACAAATTAATTGAGTTTGAATTAGTCAACAGTTAATCATAAGTCTTCGTTGGAATGATACTCTACTCACTACTCTATTACTTGACGATCACGTGCACTTGCGTGAGTATTTTTGGTCGCAACAAGTTTTTGGCGTCGTTGCTGGGGACTTAGAAATTAGCTACTTGACTGAGTTGAGCTTTTATTATTTATTTATTCAAGTTTTAATTTTCAGTTCACTTTGTTTGTGCCAATACAGGTTTTCTTTTCTTGAATGCGAAGAAGTAGAAGCGCAAACAATCTCCTTCCTCTTGATCTCGAAATTGAACGAACACTTCATAGATTGAGGAGGGAGGTGGACGCTAGAACTTGAATTGAAATAGAGTTGGACATCGTATTTCAACCACAGCCAATTGAGATGGCAGGTAATGAGGAACGTGCGGTGATCGAAGCCGCAAGGACCAGTCTGGCTAATATGACTCGAGCTATTGTGAAGCCTGATATCACTAGGCACTTTGAGCTAAAACAATACATGGTGCAGCTGATCCAATCCACAGGGCTATTTGAGGGCTTACCTCAGGAAGACCCGTAGAGGCACATTCAGAATTTCTTGGAAATTACGGACCCTTACAATTATCCGAACGCTTCCAAGGGCTATGTCAGGCTGATACTTTTCCCATTTTCACTGATCGAGGAAGCTAAGGAGTGGTTGAATAAGGAGCCAGCAAATTCAATCCGCACTTGGGATGATCTGGAAAGTAAATTCTTAATCAAGTTTTTCCCCACTAAGAAAACAAAGATATTGAGGAGTCAAATTCTTGGGTTTGAACAATGAGCTGGCGAGACACTTCGTCAAGCATGGGAAAGGTACAAGAAGTTGCTCAGAGACTGTCCTCATCATTACCAGACGGACGAGGTATTGGGTCCCACTTTTGCAGATGGGTTAGATGATGCTTCAAAGATGAATCTTGATTCAGCTTGTGAGGTAGTTGCATGGCCAGACCGTACAGTGAAATCCAAATCTTGCTGAATAACTTCATTGTTAATGATAATAACTAGCAAGTTGATGGTGATTCATGAAAGGCAGTTAAGCAAAAATCAGCTGGGTTACTTGAGCTCAACGAAGTGTCAGCCATGAGAGCCAATATTGCAAAGCTGGCCAATCAGATGACTAGGATGACAATGCAGCAGCCACAGACAATGCAACATGTACAACGAATGACTATTTGCTGCGAACTCTGTGGTGATAGTCATATGAGTGGTATGTGCCCCACAAATCCAGAATCCATCTATTATGTGGGGCAATAGAACAGAGGTCCACCGAATCAACATGCACAATACGGGAATTGTTACAATCCAAATTGGAGGAATCATCCCTAATTTCTCATGGGGTGGAAATCAGCATAGACCCCAAGGGAGTTTCAATCAGCCTCAGAGACCACCCCAACAAATGGAAGAATGTACCAATGATTTGCTAAAGAAGTTGTTGATTGACAATGAGCAACTCAGAACCAACTTCAAAAATCTTGAGAGGCAAATGGGGCAGTTAGCAACAAATCAAAACACTAGGCCTACAGGCGGTCTCCCCAATGATACAGAAAAGAACCCTCAAGTGAATGCAGTTACACTTAGAAACGGGAGGGAGCTAGCGGAAGTGCCAAAGAAAAATAAAGACAAGCCCATACATGAGGGAGAGTTGATCCCTAAAGTGACTCACGAGCCAAAGAATGTTGCTGAAATTCCAGAGCCAGTGGAGGCCCCAAGGCCACCACCACCTTTCCCCCAGAGATTGCAGAAAAAGAATGATGATCGCATGTTCACAAAATTTCTCTCTATGTTGAGTCAGGTTCAATTGAATATCCCACTTGTTGATGTGCTTCGTGAAATTCTAGATTATGCTAAGTACATAAAAGATATAGTGGCTCACAAGAGAAGATTAACTGTATTTGAGACAGTGGCACTTATAGAGGAGTGCACTTCAAGGGTCCAAAATAAGCTCCCTTAAAAGCTTAAGGATCCTGGCAGCTTCACGATTCCTGTGCGCATTGGTAATATTGATGTGGGTCATGCTCTTTGCGATTTGGGGGCGAGCATAAATATGATGCCCCTGTCTTTGTTCAAACAATTAATCCTAGGAGCTCCAAGGCCCACTACTGTGATGTTGCAGCTGGCTGATAGATCGATAGCACACCCTGAAAGGGTGATTGAAGATGTGTTGCTGCAGATTGGGAAATTCATCTTCCCTACTGATTTCATTATCCTCGATTATGAGGCTGATGAACTGGTTCCAATCATATTGGGGCGACCTCTCTTAGCTACTGGTGATGCAATTATCAAAGTGAGAGAGGGAAAGATGATTTTGAGGGTAGATGACGAGGAAGCAATTTTTAATGTCTACAAAGCAATCCAACTTCCCCGCCACTATGAGGAGCTCTCAATGATATCTGTTGTTGAGGTTGATGAGCAGATTCATTATCCGAGTGTATATCTAGACGATTCTCTAGAGACTTATGTTGCTTGATAGCCTTGGGGCTGACGAGGAGGTTGAGGAGATGATGCACATCCTAGATACGTCTTGTGCGTACATGCAAGGGATACACCCCTTTGAGCCTTTGAATAGGCCAGAGGGACCTCCTCCAAAGCCATCAATTGAGGAAGCCCCAAAATTGGAGCTTAAACCTCTTCCACCTCACCTGCAATATGCTTATTTGGGTGACTCTGACACTTTACCCGTTATTGTTTCTTCTGACTTGTCTAAATTGCAGAAAGAAAAGTTGTTGAGAGTGCTACGTGAGCACAAGCAAGCACTTGGGTGGATGATGTCTGACATTAAGGGCATTAGCCCAGCCTTTTACATGCACAAAATCCTCATGGATGACGGACACAAGCCCAGTGTAGAGCAACAATACCGACTCAATCCAATCATGAAAGAGGTGGTAAGAAAAGAAGTGATTAAGTGGCTTGATGCAAGTATTGTATTTCCTATCTCAGACAGCAAATGGGTAAGCCCAGTTCAATGTGTACCCAAGAAAGGGGGATGACTGTAGTAGTTAATGAGAATAATGATTTAATCCCTACAAGAACCGTCAACGGGAGGAGAATTTGCACTGATTATAGAAAATTGAACAATGCCACCCGGAAGGACCACTTTCCCCTCCCCTTTATTGACCAAATGCTTGATAGATTAGGTGGCCAGGAGTACTACTGCTTCTTAGATGGTTACTCGGGGTATAATCAGATTGCTATAGCCCTAATGGACCAAGAGAAGACCACATTTACGTGTCCTTATGGAACATATGCGTTCAAGAGAATGCCCTTCGGTCTTTGTAATGCACATGCGACTTTTCAACGGTGTATGATGGCCATTTTTACTGACATGGTTGAGAGGTTTGTGGAAGTGTTCATGGATGATATTTCTGTGTTTGGATGTTCTTTTAATAACTGCTTGATGAACCTTGATAAAGTACTTGGTAGGTGTGAAGAAACTAACTTGGTGCTAAACTAGGAAAAGTGCCATTTCATGGTACGTGAAGGTATAGTTTTGGGGCACAAGGTATCCAAAGATGGTTTGTAGGTGGACAAGGCAAAGGAGGAAGCGATTGAAAAATTGCCCCCACTGATACTTGTGAAAGGCATTCGCAGTTTCTTGGGCTATGCAGGTTATTATCGTCGTTTCATTAAAGATTTCTCGAAAATTTCCTCTCCCTTGTGCAGGTTGCTTGAGAAGGATGTCGCCTTCAAATTTGATGTTGCCTGTCTGAAGGCATTTGAGTAGCTGAAGGGAAGGTTGGTGACTGCACCAATCATAATTTCTCCATATTAGGAGCAGCCATTTGAGTTGATGTGCGATGCGAGTGACTTGCCTATTAGAGCTATTTTGGGGCAAAGGAGAAATAAAATCTTCCACTCCATCTTCCATGCGAGCAAAACTTTGAATCCAACTCGGATGAACTACACAGTCACTGAAAAAGAGTTGTTTGTCGTGGTGTGGGTGTTTGACAAGTTCAGGTCATATCTAGTAGGGACCAAAGTCATCGTCTACACAGATCATTCAGCGATCAGATACCTATTTGAGAAGAAAGACGCCAAACCGAGACTGATTCGGTGGGTCCTCCTCTTGCAAGAGTTTAACCTAGAGATCCGAGATCGCAAAGGAACAGAGAATCAAGTGGTTGATCACTTGTCCAGATTAGAAAATCGGAACCATGTAGCTGAAGGGGGTGCAATCAAAGAAACATTCCCTGATGAGCAGTTTTTGGCAATCACCTCAAGCATAGCCCCATGGTATGCAGATTATGTGAACTTTATTGCAAGGGGGGTGACACCACCAGAATTGACACCCGATAATAGAAGAAGGTTCCTGCATGATGTGAGGAGATGAATGCCATACTTCATAGTTGTCATGCCTCGCCATACGGAGGTCATCATGGTGGAGACAGGACCGCCCAGAAGGTGCTACAATCAGGTTTCTATTGGCCAAAATTGTTTAGGGATGCACACTCCTTTGTTAAAATGTTTGACAGGTGCCAAAGAACTGGAACGATCACAAAGAAGCACGAGATGCCACTGCAAAACATTTTGGTAGTGGAGCTTTTTTATGTTTGGGGAGTTGACTTCATGGGACCGTTTCCGTACTCCAATGGTCATAGGTACATCTTGGTGGCAGTCGATTATGTGTCTAAGTGGGTGAAGGCCATTGATCTTCCCACTAATGATGCAAAGGTGGTGGTAAGCTTTGTTAAGAAGCACATCTTCACACGCTTTGGAACTCCCAGAGTGTTGATCAGTGATGGAGGAACGTATTTTTGCAACAAACTACTGAATAATGTTCTTGCAAAGTACGGAGTCAAGCACAAAATTTCCACTGCCTATCACCCCTAGATGAGCGGTCAAGTGGAAGTGTCAAACAGAGAGGTAAAGCGGATTCTTGAGAAATAGTGAGTCCAAATAGAAAAGACTGGGTAGGGAAGTTAGACGACGCATTGTAGGCATATCGAACTGCATACAAAACTCCCATAGGTAATTCTCCGTATAAGTTAGTTTATGGGAAGGCATGTCACTTTCCCGTCGAACTTGAACACACGGCCTATTGGGCAATTAAAAAGCTGAATATGGATGGGGACTTGGCTGGCGAGAAGAGGTTGTTGCAACTCAACGAGCTTGATGAGTTTTGTTTGCACGCATACGAAAATACCAAATTGTATAAAGAGAAGACTAAGAGGTGGCATGTCAAGCACATCCAACATCGAGAGTTTGAGCCAGGTCAAGATGTTCTTTATTCAATTCAAGGTTGAAGCATTTCCCAGGAAAGCTTAAATCTCGTTGGTCAGGCCCTTTTGTTGTGGTAAGTGTGAAGCCTCATGGAGCTGTGGAGTTGCGGGATATGAGTTCAACTAGTACTTTCTTGGTGAATGGTCAAAGGATAAAACATTACTGGGGTGGTGACTGTGCACGTCATAAGACCTCGGTGGACTTGATGGATGCTTGAGAACATTTTGAGTCGTACCGAGACGTTAAATCAGGCGCTAGATGGGAGGAAACCTATCACAACCGAAATCGATGGGCCCCGATGGCACCCGGTACCTTACTCAACCGAGTACCAATGTAACGTATCTTTCTTATTACATCATCATATACATGTGACATACGGGCCTAATAGGCCAACATAATCATTTATAAACTCAAAACATAGGCCGACAAGGCCGTACAATCTTTCACGTACAAGACATGTGTCTACAAGCCTCTAAGAATACATAAATGTCATAAAGGTCGGGACAGAGTCCCGCCATACCAAACAATAAACGTCTAAATCATACTAACCAAACGAGCAACTTCGAAGTAAATGGAGCGCACCAACATCTTCCGCTGAGCTGATAGCCTACTTGGAGGGCTCTCGACCTGTCTATCGGGACCAGCGGGCATGAAACGCAGCGTCCCCAGGAAAAAAGGATGTCAGTACGAATAATTTACCGAGTATATAAGGCACATAAATACATACATAAGAGATATGGAAGAAATATAGAGTACATAACTCAACCTGTAAGTCTGAATAACTTTGTAAATCATAAATTACTTTCAGCATCATGCATATGCGTATAAATGTCATGTCGTGCATAGGTACATGTTTCATAACATCACCAGCCTCTAAGGGCATCCCATTATATCATATCGGCCATTGTAGGCAAAATCATCATCGTAAACTAGCTAATCAGGTGGTGGTGTGTATATAACGCCATAACCTTTCCCATATCCAATATACATATATTTACATATATACGCGTATATAACGCCGTTTGAGTACATACATATATATGCGTATATAACGTCGTTTGAATCATATTTGTGCCACTGTGGGCAACATCATCATCATATACCAGCTGATCAGGTGGTGATTTGTATATAACGCCGTAACCTTTTCCCATATCCCAAATACATATATATGCGTATATAATGTCATCGGGTCATGGGTTAGTGCACATGAATGCAGTGCATAAAAAGTACGTCAATAAAATCATTCGGAATGTCATAAGACCATTTTGCCTCTGAGTAATATCATAAAGTAAACTCTTTTCAACTTTCATATTTTTCTTAGACCCATGAACAGATGATAAGACATTATAACACACGGAAATTCAGGAACACAGATATCTCTAATACTTCTATGAATAGAGTCATTCATGGAATTTGTGCATTTGCACGTTCCGTTCGTATCGTATGGATCATGCCAAAAGACAGAAGGGATAGCCTTAACATACCTGAGCCGGTTCTATATCCCTTTCAATACCTCCATCGCATAGGTATTGGACAAGGAAACAAAAGAGAACTTCCACCAAAGATGATGATACGATCAGATGAAGCAGAACGTTGTCAAGAATTATTTGGTGTTTCATTTGTTTGAACCATCTTAGGATTGCATGTTTGGTCATTCTGTAGTCAAGTTCTTGATGCCCTTTCCCATGAATGTATTTAGTTGAAACAGAATGTTGACATCAATAATTGTTTTGCCTTTTGCCAAATTTTGTAGGTTGTGGGCCCCACTTATGTATGACTTGGCCACCAATAATTCTTCCCATTTTGCCACCTTTCAATGTGACTTAAGAGTCACTTAAATGGCCATGTGTTGCTGCCACGTTACTCTTTTGGATAATTAATTAAATTTATCCACTTATTAGTTAACCGGGTAATGTTTCGTTACCTGGTAATTAATCTATTACCCGCATAATTGAGAATTATTTCCATTTACTTAAAATACTACTCACTTTTCACATACCTCATACACCTTACTATCATGGTCATGTAGTACCTCGTATGGCACTAGTTCATAAATACCGAGTATTTTAGCTCGGGCCGTATTTTATTCCAACATGCCAACTTGGACGAAAATTTATTTTCTTTGACTTGATTCCCTTCTCACCTTCATGAATTTACTTATCACTTGTTTAAAATAGCATAATACTTAAAATCTCAAAATAATCCCATCCCTGAAGTTACATCGATTAACTTACGATGAAACATTAACAT